TGAATAGATCTTCATAAACAAGAACAATTAAAAAAAATATACTAAGGAATTGACATTTTTTATTCTTTTTTTATTTATTTTATAGATTTTTAGGTATAAAGCTTTTAGAAAGTAATAGAAATTAAAATTAAAAAAAAATAAATGTATTGTAATTTTGAATAGAAGGAAGCTTTGATTGAAATTTTTGCTTAAGTTAAAGATATAGATGAACAAATATTCAGTGTTATAATTAAAATTTTTCGTTAGGAGAAAGTTTAAGATAGTATAGGATATATTTCAGATAATTTAAATCAGAAACATTTTGAATAATACATTCTAGAAGGAGAGTATTTAAAACAAGTTGATAACGAATAGAAATTGTATGTTGTTAGAAATAGCATTAAACAAATTATTAATATCTTAAAAAAAATAAAATATCATGACTTTAATAAAAACGACTTTTCGAATGAAGGAACTTAGGAATGTCGACAAGTTTTACTTAATGGAATGAGAAATCAAAGGTTGATCATAGAGTTTTTAAAATTTTTAGTTTACCTCACATCGATTGATAGCTCTTTAATATAATGTGGGTCAAATTCCTTGCATTTATTAGTTGAGATGAAGATCGACCTTACATAAAAAAATTTAAAAAATATTGTGATTTAAAATACTTCTTTGGTGGGAGCTAATTTGTTTCGATGTAATTTAAGTGGATCATAATTTAATAATGTAGACATAAGTGGAATAAATTTAAATGAAGCTTAATTATTTAATTGTTCATGGAAAAATATAAGGATACATGAATTAAATTAAATAAATGGTCATAGTGATTATGTGCGCACAGTCTGTATTTCTCCCGATGGGACTATAATTGCATCTGGTAGTTACGATAAGTCTATCCGATTATGGGATTTTAAAACTGGATAATAAAAAGGCAAATTAGATGGTCATCGTAAATGGGTCTCATCAGTATGCTTCTCTCCTAATGGTAGTATATTAGCATCTTGTAGTGGAGATAACTCTATCTGCTAATGGGATATTAAGACAAGAAAAAAAAAATCTAAATTTGAAGGAAATAGAGGGAAGGTTAGTTCCATATGTTTCTCCCCTGATGGTACTACAATAGCTTCTGGTAATAGTGATAAGTCTATAAATTTGTGGAATGTTAACACAGGATAATAAAAAGTTAAACTAATTGGTCATATTGATGCTCTCTGCTCAGTATGTTTCTCGAATGATGGTACGACTTTAGCATCTGGTGGTGATGATAAATATATCTGTTTATGGGATGTTAAAACAGGATAACTAATAGCCAAATTATATGGTCATAGTGATTATATCCGATCAGTCTGTTTCTCACCTGATGGCACTACAATAGCTTCTGGTAGTGATGATAACTCAATCAATTTATGGGAAGTTAAAACAAGATAATAAAAAGTCATCTTACATGGTCATGATGATTCAGTTCTTTCATTATGCTTTTTTCCTGATTGTACTACCTTGGCTTCTGGTAGTAGCGATAAGTCCATCCGTATATGGGATGTTAAAACAGGACAAGAAAAAGCCAAATTATATGGTCATAGTGATTATGTCTACTCAGTATATTTATCTCCTGATGGTACAACGTTAGCATCTAGTAGTCGAGATTGTTCTATACGTTTATGGGATGTTAAAATAGGATAATAAAAACCAAAATTGGACGGTCATGATGATTCAGTTCTTTCAGTATGCTTCTCTCCTAAAGGTACTATATTAGTATCTGGAAGTTACGATAAGACCATCTGTTTATGGGATGTCAAAACTGGGTAACAAAAAGCCAAATTAAATGGTCATACTGGATCGGTACTATAAGTATGCTTTGCTCCTAGCGGTACTATATTAGCATCTTGTAGTTATGATAAGTCTATTCGTATATGGGATGTTAAAACAGAATAATAAATAGCTAAATTTGATGGTCATAGTAATTATGTCTTCTCAGTATGCTTCTCTTTTGATGGTACTATATTAGCATCTGGTAGTGCAGATGAAACTATTCGTTTATGGGATGTTTAAACAGGATAACAAAAAGCAAAATTAAATGGTCATACTGGATCGGTACTATAAGTATGCTTTGCTCCTAACGGTACTACATTAGCATCTTGTAGTTATGATAAGTCTATTCGTATATGGGATGTTAAAACAGAATAATAAATAGCTAAATTTGATGGTCATAGTAATTATGTCTTCTCAGTATGCTTCTCTCCTGATGGTACTATATTAGCATCTGGTAGTGCAGATAAAACTATTCTGTTATGGGATGTTAAAACAGGGTAATAAAAAGCCAAATTAGTTGGTCATTTTTAATGGGTCTCATCATTATGCTTCTCTCCTGATGGTAGTACATTAGCATCTGGTAGTGGAGATAACTTTATTCATATATGGGATGTTAGCACAGGATAATAAAATGCAAAATTAGATGGTCTTAGCAATTGTATTAACTCAGTATGTTTCTCTCCTGATGGTACTACTTTAGTATCTGGTAGCTATGATAACTCTATACGTCTATGGAATGTTAAGACATGTAAGGAAATTGAAGCCTCTCATAAAAATCTCAAAGATTTATTCATAAAATTTAACACTCCAATATTTTTATACGATCCTCTACCTCAAGGTAAAATTAGTTTTTATTTTATTAGTCGCAACTTATATAACTATTCTCATAATGTCACAATAACCAATATTTTAAGCTTAAGGTGCATTAATTCTCATAGGCTAATTTGTAAATTATTAAGGAGTTGATTTACAATCATTATTTAAATCAAAAGGAAGTTGTTTTTTGGAAGGCTCAATAACAATAAAGTAAGGGTGAAAATTGGTTCTCATGAACATCAAAAATAAAATATTACAATTATTTTCAAAATTTTTATTATTTTTGACAATTCTATCTATTATTCTATTCATTTATAAGAGATGCATAATTGAAATAATTTTTTTTAATTCTGAGTCGAATAATTTTCATATCCCTTTAATTTAAAAATGATAATATTGAATCATTCATTACTTGTTGAATTTATCTTACAAATTTATGTTTTATTAAACATCCTTTTTATGTATTATATCTCACCATTCAATAATTTTAAACCATCCTATTTTTTCATGAATTAATAATAACAAGATTCAAATATTTAACTATTATAGTTTAATATTTTAAAAGTTAATTTAATAAATTTCTAATTTTCATTTAATTCATTTCTTCATCTTTTGGAAGCATCAGTATGTCTTTTAACTTTTAACAATAAAATGCCTGAAAATGTTTTATTTAAACATAGAAAAAAATAGTTTACTAAAAACAAAAAAGACTGCTTCAATTTTGCAAAAAACTTTTTAAATAATGATTTCACATTAATATTTTTTAATTATGCAAATTCAATTTCATAATCTAAGTGAAAATAGTTAACATGAAGATTGCATTTGAATGAAGAATATTATCATAAAATTAATATGAAATGCATTTTGATTTTCCATATCAAAAATAATGAAAAAGAAAAAGTAACGTATTAATACAAAAATACTTTATAATGTTTTAGTAATTAAAAAAAGGGATGCTTAAGAATAGCTACGTTAAGAAACCAAACGGAAAATTTAAACTAGTAATAAACCTTTGAAGAAAATTTAGTAATCAGAGATAAAGTATAGAAAAATTATGATCAGATATCATGATATTTTATAATGGAATTGACTATATTTTTGATTTTTCTTTAATATAACGATAATTCAATTCAATTTTCCTCGATCAAAGGAGAGATCTTCGACATCTTTAATAAGCTTGTTTTTATTAGAAAAAAAATTTTGTATTTATTCTTTATAAACAAAAGTTCCTTCTTTTTACTATTTCATTATTCTTCTACGATGTCTCAACCTTTTATTAAGTAGATATATCTTACTTAGGGATTGCTCTAGATTAAAATGTTTATTATATATTTAGAGTTTTCCTATAATTTAAGATTTAGGAAAAATGTATGCTTAATTTCAAAAGTTTTAAATATATTTCTTGTCCAAGCTATCTCTGGTCTGTGAAACTTAAGGATATATTATTCGGTATTGCTATATCCGTTCTAAAGTGAATGGCTACAGAGTTAGTTTTACGAAATTTAGATGCTTTGGTTTTTGTAAAATCTATTCTTTTATGTTAAAGGTTTTTGAATTTATAAATAATCAGTTGATCTTAAATCTGTTTGTTGTTTTTGGTGTTCTAAAATATCTTTTACTATCTATTTAACTTGTTCTAATGACTATTAGATTTAATTTAGTAAACTTGACTCGCAAGGGTCAATTCAACATAAACATTTAATTATGTTATCGATTTCATAAAAGTCTTAATTTATTTAATTATACAAAATTAATATTCAGTAAATTTATGAATTATTGAAAAGACTATCAAGAGCTGATTTGCACTCTTAAGCTTTTTATTAAATATATGCAATAAGGACTCGTTTATAAATCCATTTATCCAGTGGTTCTAATAATGTTAACTTTTTAAGATTTATACCATGGCTAAGCAGGCAAATATTACAATAAGATCTTTTTTTGTATGTTTATTAATAATAATATTTCATAAATTGAAAATTTAATTTGAATTAAAACCTTACCTTGATCTGAATTAATTTTAAATAAATTTCAATTGAATGAAATTCATAAAAAATGATAGAATAGTTTGAGTAAAAGGAAAGTTAATCTGGTCATCTCAAAGTAAAGCTGAAAATATACGCAAAATAATGAAGAACTGAAAGAAAAGTAAATTACAATAGATACAATAATATATCGAAAATTAATCTTATCAATTATAAATAAATTTATAAAGAGAAGAATCATGTTTATGTTCTATAAATTTTAAGGGAATACTTGTAATGACAAAAGCAATTTAGAGAAAAGAATCCATCATATCGAATTGGAATTTGAGTAAAAATAAATAATATTCTAAAAAATGATGAGACACATTTTGTATTTTGCATATATATATATATATAATCTAAACATCTTTTCTAATATCATGTATCCTAATCAACCATTTTTGTTAAGTTA